CAAATGGAAGAAGTACTTGTATACAAAGTCTGACTCACAGCTCATGTAAAGAATATGACACACTTCTTGGTCTAATTCATTAACTCTAAATAATGTCCTTTCAAATGCCATCCCCAGAAGCAGTTTCTATTGGAGCTATTTTTTCTTCTGTTGCCACAGATTGTTTTTAAAGAATTATGGGAAATGACAACAGTAGAACCAAAGTTCAGTTTTTCACAGATGAAACTACAGAATGCATGGAGTAATGTAACCCAGTCAGACAAGTGAGTAAATTATATCTTGGTTGCAACGATGCACCACTTGCTGAATATCAATAAGGATATGTTCCCTTCCTTAGAGTAAAAATAATATTTGCTGTTAATGTAAACGGTTCTGAATGTCCCTGGCAGTATATGCACAGATGCCAAACAGCATGAGAACTTGAGCAGAATCTCATACGTTTTATTTGCAAGGAAGAGGAAGATTGTGTTCACAGATGTTAAAACAAGGAGGATGATTCATTTACATTGCTTTACAATAATGAAACTCCATTAACTTCTATCATCTTCCTTCAAATTTCTCTTCAAGTAAATGAGAAAAGCCTAAGCTCATGTTCAAGGAACAGTGGCAAACGGTGCACCGAGGTTTTCATTCTGCTTCTAAATTTCCTAAGACAAGCATGTGGGTAACTGCTCCCTGTGGACCAAAATGCGCCGTTGTTCTTCATAACTCAACAGTTACAAGTATCAACAGAGCATGTCTGGTGCGCAAGCTGAGGGAAGGACTGGTTGCCCTGAGCTGTGACCCATCTTTGTCTTCCTTTGAATTTTGACTTCCAAGATACTGAAGAATGGGTTAGACTGGGTTTTAGACTGGGTTAGACTAATTAGACTTTCATTCTCCAAGAGGCTAATTTTAGATTCTGCCTCAACTAAATAAATTAATAAATATCTTATGGAAGCATTTGACCTCAGTTCTAGAAGAAATCCATGACTGTTCCGTATGACATCACAGGCAGAGCTGGTGCACAGTTAAAGTGGTATTAGCACAAATATATGTGCTGGCCTCAGGTCTTCTGCTCAATGAGTTTTATTTTTACTAGGAGTAATATACTTAAGCTCTCTAGAGCTCTGCAAATTCATTTTTTACATGCAACTACATAATCTTTCTGGAGTGAATATGGACATTAACTCCTCCGTGCAGCTCTCTATAAACATCTGCTTGCGCAGCAGATAGTTCAAATTCAGCATCCAGGAAGGAAAGTGCTCCCAGGACTGACTACTGAGTTATATACCCTTTTATTTTAATGTACTCTGCCAAGATGAGTCCATAACCTCAAATGAGTCAGGGAAGAAAAGGCGAAGGGCAATAACAAACAGCTTCATCGTAATTTTAACCATACTGCTTAGTGATCGCAGAATAACCTTTATGCTTAGATATTGAAGGACACTACCTGGACACATTCTTCCTGAGCGTGCTCATCCACTCCTTGGGATTTGCACTCCGTGATTCCAAGTACACAAGGAGAAGACACATGTGCCATCTACCCTGATTTTATTAATTGGTTCTGGTGACAGGGACACTTAAGATTTTTTGCTGGACTGTATAGTGACAAATTTCACTCTCTTGAGTAGACCTCACTCTGTAAAGTGGAGATGTGCTTTCCGTACTGACTCTCCAGGTATTGCTGCTATAGCAGCGATCCTACTCCAAGAAATCATTTACACATTGTGTTATGTTCCAGTAATCCAGGCTTGCCAGTCCATATTAAATAAGTAAAGAAATACCAAGACACCTTGGAAGCTGTTTGTGTAGTCCAACGAGCAAACTGTTCACAAACACAGAAAGAAAAAATACGGTCAATTTAAACTAGAAATAGTGATAAGCTTAATGTTGCACACAGATCTAGGCTGGCATGAAAGTCACAGGGCATTTTTTTTTTCAAAAGATGGTTTTCATAAGCTCCAGTATACAAGCTAACTTGTGTCTTGGGTAATTATAGTCTCTCCGTTGAAAATCCCCCTGTAATTTCAGCCGGATGTATTTTTTCACTTACTGCCCTAAATTGTTACACGTTATTCTAAAAGCTGGTTAACATCATATGGAGAAGGTGGCAAAAAATCAATAGAGCTTCACAACAAAGACATGAAAGAAGTAAAATATGAAATCTCTGAAAGAAATGATGTTCCCATTTGGGGGCAAAAGGGCAAGGACAATGGAATCGGTGAACTTATATTTTTTTGCAGGTTTTGCTATGTTATTAAGATGTAATAGTGGTTTCAGGCTTTTACTTTACACAGTTGGGCCTTTCTGTCTTCTTTGGTCTGCCAACAAAATGAAACAATAGTTCAAACTGAAAAGTCAAGTTTCGACTATAAAAATGAAATTTGAAGACAGTCTGCCCAAAGGACAGATGTCTCGCCTTTTGCATGGAGTTTAATATTCCAGTCAATGCAAACTTGTCTAGATTAATGGTAGTTTGTATTTTTAGAAAAGACATAGAGGAGATGAAAATCTGAGATCAAAAGGTAGTCTGAAGAAAGAATATATGCATAGGTATTGTATAAAAACAATACTTATATATATATGTTTCATATATTTTCCGTATAGTATAAATACATGTAAAACTGTAAATATGTGTAAAATTGTATTCAACAACTTTTATCTCTGCTTGCCATTATGATATATTTTGTTGTTTAATTTGTGTTATTCCTTCAGGTAATTTTCCTTGCTGCATTAATTGGCACGTTCTGTACTGAACAGCTTGTCCCCCTGAAGAATACAGCTCTCAGCCAGTGAAACGATGCTTTCCTATGTGCTCTCAGTAAACTCAAAGACCTACATTAAGCTTATGTTAAATTATTTGTTTGTTCATTGTCAACAGTGTGCTCACAGCTGTGTAAAACTTAGAAAGTCAATTCCTGTCCCGAGGGGCTTAGAGACACTCAATGGCCTGCGCTGTTCTTTTTGTCTCTTGCCTTGAATTTGGGAATTCTTAGTGGATTGTTCTGGTCTGAATGCTGACTGCGAGGAGTCCTTTAGATCTATACAGATATTAGTTCTGGTTTAGCAACTGGTGACCTTGAGGGTAGGTCGTCTGCAATAGCTGTGCTCTAAATTGTCCATATTGCTTTATCTTATGCATCACGTCTAATAGCTTAGATTCTTGAACTAATAGGTATTTAGAGGGGAGAAAATCCTAAGCTTTCTTAGTTCATATTGGCAGCATACTGCAATGTTATATGCACATTTATATTACTTCTACAATGTAATACGTAGTAAGGGACTATCTTGAACTACTGAGTTAAATAAATCCGTATTTCTTCTTGAAGTTCTTGTTGGCAAGAAAAAGTACAGGTCCCCTGGAGATGGACTACATGTCCTTTTAAGTCTTTTCTATCTAATTTCTAGGATTTCTATGAACCCCAGTTCAATTTCTTGGCACTAGATATAGCAGTCTTTTGGCTAAGACCAAGCATAGAATCAATCTAATAGTTGCTTTTATCCTTCATTGAGCCATTTCTCTTTATAGGGAGAGGATAATGGAATCATTGACAGAGTACAAGTTTTACTTCTTTCATTTCTCTGTATGCGTATTGTTTTGAATAATTGAAAATTTACGATTTGCTAAATTTAACTTGTACTTTCTTATTCCTGGGCCAAATACTAACATCACAAGTCTCTCAAAATCGCTGTCAAATGACACAGAAATTTTGCCCACCTGTCAATTAAATAGCCAGTGAGATATTCTGAGCTAGATTGTATTGAAGAATGGTGAGCCTGAAGAAGCAGCATCTCTCCCTAAACAACTCAGGACTCTGTCCACCCTGCTGCTGATACACTGAAGCAGTTATCCTCTTGTACTCATATCTTACTTTAATTGGATATTGCCTGAGAAATGGCAGAATTACCTTTTTGTTTTAAAAGCAAGTTTCTCTGACAACCTGGGATTTATGTGTTTCTTTTTCTAGTACATAATCATGCCCTGAATTTTTCTCTGAAGATATATGATATGTAAAACAGAAGAACATTACCTAGAGGGAATACTGTTTCCTGGATAAAGTATCTGCGATGAATGTTATAAAGGAGCCAGGAGAGGATGATTAATTACTATGTTAATGCACCTATGTACAATAATGCGTGACTCCTTATTAAAAGCCCTGTAGCACTAATGTACTGTTGTGTTCACAAATAACCCATTTGTTACGAAGAGGGTCAAACCCAAACACTGTGTGCAAGATCTCCACACGTGCCCAAGTTTTTTTGATCCTCGTCCCACAGGGCAAGAATTTAAGCAATTTATTGTCGTGAGGGCTGGCAGCCAGGGAAGCTATACGTCCATCTGACGCTGCTGTAACAAGCGAGGCTCCACTAGGAATTTCCATCTGCTTTTCCTCCTGAATTTGCCCACGTATAATTACCGTGCTTGGTGATGCTTAACTAAAGGTGAACGGAAACATATTTGCAATTGAACGTTTGCATAGGGTTTATAAAAATGTTGTGTTTTGAAAGAAGGCTTCTGAAAATCAATCATTTTCTTGCTGAAATGTAAAGACCTCTGCAAATGAGTAACAAAATCAGACTGAATCACCGTGGTTTTTAAAACTGTAGGACTTAGTGGAATATTCTGGAGCCCTCTTGGCAACTGCTGTTTTTGTTCCAGTTGCAGGTGGCCTACACCTTCAATGCCCTGTAGAGCTTCACCTGCAGCTGTGACCTTCTTTGCCCTTCTGTCATGGATTTGAGTGACGCAGGTGAGTCTGCTCCCTCCCCAGAAGATATGATCTAGTTAGGAAGAGGAAAGTATTTCTAGGAAGACAGCAGTGTGGTTTATTGTGCAGGGAGCAGCTTGGAATTGCTGTATTCATGATGCTCCTCTGCATCATTAGCAAAATGAAAAACAGGATCTGATGAAAACTGAGGAGAGCAACCAGCTCTGTGCCCAGGCCCTGCCAGGGCTGAGCCTAAGTGGGCCGCATGCTTGTCTTTAGCAGGCTAGAGGTGGCCCAGGCACCATCAGCAGCTGAAGAGCTTTGATCAAAGACGGAAAGAAGAGGAGGAAAGTGTTCCCTTCAAGGTGCTCGTGTGCTGGGTGATACCAGCCTTGGCAAATCAACCTCAGAACCCTGAGCTCTGGTTGCTTCTCAGGTAAGTAGAAGATCACTTATTGTGTAACACTGTGTAAGCCCAGACTTTCAAATATGGGCTGTTTAAATTACGCACGCTGGAAGCAACACCACCAGGGAACCTTTGCATCTAACACAGCTACAACAGTGGAGAAGCAGGAGCTCTATAGCGGGAGCTGCTGTTCTCTTCTGACCTGGAGTGTCTGTGACCATCAACAGCCATAGAAAATCTGCCGTGGTTACCTATAGTAGGAAGGGACTAGATCAGAGTTTTAAGTTTCCTAGTTCTGTGTTGCACTTTGTCCTGCACTAGAAGGAAAACAAAAAGCTGCCTCAAATATTCACACATGCATACCAGTGTGGGTTTTGTAAACATGAAGGATTCACATGAAATCAGAAGGAACGGCTTAATGCTACTGTTCAATCTTTTTTGTTGGTATCTTTTTTTATATCTAACCTTTGTGACACCAGCTATCTAAAGAAAAAAATAACTTGGAAAATAGGAAGTTTAGGAGCTCACTACTCGAAATGTGGGCTGAGCTTCAATCAGTGCTCAGCTTCAATCAACTTGCTCAGTGCAGGTTTTGTGTAAGAAAGAATGCACTTTAATACTGAGAGAGAGGAATGGAATTAGCTCCTTCTAGGGGCTTTGAGCCTCCATGTCTTTCACATTGAAAATGTTCATGGAGGTGGCTGGGCATTGTCACTACCAGAGGAATGCAGGGTTAAGTCCAAATTCTACCTGTTATCGACTAGATAACATCAGAATGAATGTATACAATGTTATATTGCAACCAAATATCACATTTAATTCCCCAGTTTAATTCCTTACTGTGTGCAGTGCTTGCAGCTCTGAATAATGTTCTTATTTGGTTAGATTTATATACACAGTAAAAGGGGAAGTAACTGCAGCTGTACTGCTGTCAGCTACAGAGCACGGCACAAATTGTGGGAATTCACAGTGTGGGCTCTACAGAGCTAAGCAATTCTTTAAAATACCATGAATAATTCCACAAAACACTGCAGGATCCAGCTCTCTGAACCTCATTCAAACAGGTTTCTGACTCCTTTTGGCAGTGCAATTGGTGTACATGTGTCGGTGAGGGTCAGGGCGTTTGAGCAGGAAGAGGAGTTACGTACATGTTGAATCTCAAATCATAAATCATAATCTAAGTGGGTAATAGGCAGGTTCTCGTCTCTTCTGACCCAGCTAAGATACAGGTACTGTACTTAGTGGTTTGCACATTTTAAGAAACTGATGATGACAACCCTCAGAAAGTGGCAAACTGCTCAGAAACAGTAGCAGGCCTTGAAACAGCTGCAGAAGTCGCAGGAGGTCACTGCTTTATGTGGGGCACTACAAAGAAACTGTTTTGTCATACCAGCTCCGTCAGCACATCAATAAACTTTGCAAAGTAAGTTAGCTTTTTCTTTGTTCTCATTACTGTTCACCCACCAAATGCTTGCATTTTATTTGATCTTCCAGGTAAGTGCTATTACTCTGAATTGTTGCTGCTGCTATGAGTCTGCATGCAACACAAAGCTGACAGAAAAAATGTTTCAGCATAGCTGAGTTTATTAGCCATCCAAGTTTAAAAAAAAAAGAAAAAAGAATAGAACAAAGAGGAGAAACAAGAAATACGGATGTGTATCGACATGAAAATGCAGTTCAGTGTCTGTGTCTTCTTCCGCTTACTGTAATTTGTAAATTATTCCTAAATTGTACACAGAAGAGGAACATTTAAGTCCAGATCCTCAGCTGGAGTAACTCTGTATCCTTCCATTGGTCCCAAAAGCCATGCTGATTTACACCTGCTGACATCTGAGCTATAGTAATTGGTGTTGATGTTCTTGGACAATATTTAGGTTCAGGTATTTAGTTTCGAATGTGGTTTTCAAGAAGCTGAAAATGTTATGATGTTGTTAGGGTAACTGCAGGGATAACTGCATGATGCTATCCTTGTAATTGCTATTCAAACAATGCTTACAGTAGTTACTGGCACTATTTGGATTAGGAAAACGGCAAGATCTAAATTAAAACGGGCATGGAAACATTGCTTCATGGTGCGTGATGTTCCTGTGCCACTGCCTCATAAAGTCTCTCCACACAGGCCTTGAGCTGGCAGTCACTGGGTCGGGGAGGCAGACGTGGCCCTTGGGGCGCACGAGTGCCTCCAAGCTCCTCTGCTGCCTCCTCGCCGGGACTGGTCTGCTCACAGACTCCACGCCACGACCCTACGCTCCTGTGCCCTCCTCGTAACCACCACCCGTGGTGGCTGCTCTGTGAACCGTGCAGTTTATCAACTGCCGGCGTGACACTGACTGGCTGGACAGGCTGCAAAGAACCGAGAGGATCCGGTGGAGCCGTTAGGCTGATGGACCCCTCCTCATGCAGGCTCCTTCCCAGGGGGCATGCCACCGGGCACCTAAGGGACCTGTCAGCTGCATCCTGGGCAGGGGCTGTGAAGGCAGCTCCCCTCGGCCATGCCTGCCCCGGGCCCCACGGGCGATGCTGGGCTACCCTCAAGGCATCCGCCCTGTGACAGTGCTGCGCACGGGCAGCCTGCGGAGGGGAAAGGCCTGACGCGCTTCTTCATGCGAGACCGCCGAGTCGAACCGGCCACTAAGCCAAAATGGCGCCTGCCCCGGCTGGGG